ATTATGTTTAAACGAGAATGCGAGAGGATATGTATGAAAGAGTAAGTCGTTACTATATCTGCGCAACGGCACTGTCGTTAAAAGTTACAAAATAGGCCTACCGATCGACTCGGGGAGACATCGTCGAAGGTATCGATACCATCGGCGCCGACACTCGGTGATTATAATAATACTCGACACATCTGTCAAAACACCGTGCCCTATGCACTTAGCTTTCGTACATTCACACGTGCCGATAACGCTCGCGTATCGTGCAAACAAAATCAACTGATTATCGCCATCGCATTTCTCGATGAATTTGATATCTATTCATCAGATTTGCCGCACCATTTCGACCGTGTAGCATCGACGCCGCTGTTGATTAGAGGCGTGTCGGAACGTTGCTCTACATAATGACGACGTTTTAACGAGACGCACGTGTTTATTGCCGGTAATCAACCGCGTTGCACGAATTATTTTTCTTCGGTCTCTCATCCCCTCCCGTTACGAGGATTAAATCGTTTAACGTGAAGAATCCGCTAAAAAATTAAGTTTCAACCGACCGGTCGTGCCATCGTTCTGTGCAAATAGCGCAGCGCGTACAAATTCTACGCCGCCAAGATACTGGAAATTCAGAGTGCGCGGCGAAACTTGGAAAAGCTTTTCCTCTTTTATCGGATATATTTCCTTTTTTCTTTTACAACGCGACGAATAATAAGAGCCGTGATATTTTTGCACACGTTCTTTTAATATTCAGTTGTCGGAGGGAGAACGCTGGGTGCCCGCCGTTAAAGGCGATAATGTTTTCACCTTATTGTCGTGCATTTTCCAATTTCTTTTGCAATCAGACGTCGTATTATTGTACGAGATTATTTCTTTTGATATATTCGCGTCGACATAGCGGTGTCCAACGAATGTCACGAAAACTGCGTGCTGCGGAATTAAAGCTCCGAAGAAACATTTATCGTAACACCGCAAACGAGCGACCCTGATACACAATGATCCATTCTTCAAATCATTCACTGATAGATTTAATTATATAAATTCACTGGCCGATTAATCATATAACACACACACACGTGCCAAGATCACGACGCGTCTCTTGAGAGACGAGACTCGCGCGACTGTCGCTAAATTACGGGAAATAATAAGATCTTTCCAACGTTTGTTGCGCAGTGACCTCAGAAAACGGAAATGGCACAACAATGACCTTTGTGACAATACTCTGATACCTGGACATGCTCCATCTGCTTCTGAGATAGTCACAATGAGACCACGAGAAGGGAGCTCACGGGCGTCGCGTGATAAATAGCACACTAGTCAGAAGGAGACGATGGAGGGAGAGGACCGCGAATGGACGGCGCAGAAACAAACGATATTGTTAAAACCGATATGACTACTTTCTTTCTTTTTTTCTTTTCTCTCTTTCTTCGTCTAGTGCATCTACACTGCTTCCGGTGTAGGGTCGTAAATTCCGCGTATTTGAATCCCATTTGCGTTCGTCACTGCCATCGATCGTTGACAGCAGCACGACGGCTGGTGAAACCGTTTTTTGGGAGTACACTGCCGCTGTGATTAGAATGAATGGTCTCGATAGTCTCGGACGAAAACTCCGAAAGTCGTAGGATTGTTAATTTATAGCGATGACCGTTAAGTTTTAAAGATAGGAGCGATTACGTAAGGTTTTTACGATCATATTATCGATATTTGATTTGTTACACGTAGATCCGCGATTTCTTCTCACTTTCTTTTTTTTCTTTTTTAATTTACAGGGACAGAACGAGGAGAAATATTACCGTGCGAACGAGTGCGTGAATTATATCACCGTGTAATTTCGTGAAAGTTTCAGTTTCGAAATGTGGCGGGGTGATTCCCTGGCGAACGGTTAACCTTCGCGCGCTTTAGGTGAAGCTCGTTTTTGTAAGTGGGTAGACGAGATAAAGGATCGTTGGATTCAATACTAATAGTTTATCGAGATCCCCAAACAAATAAAGCTTGTTTGGGGACCTCGATAAACTATTAGTATTGAATCCAACGATCCTTTATATCGTCTTACAAAAACGAGCTTCACCTAAAACGCGCGAAGGTTAACCAGGGAATCACCCCGCCACATTTCATCCCTGAAACTGAAACTTTCACGAAATTACGGTGGTATAATTCACGCACTTGTTCGCACGGTAATATTTGTATGTGTAAAGATAACCGAGATGAAATCAAATTTATCGCAATCAGATATAACTCACAGATTTTAGAGATACGATAGAAATATATTTCATCAAGTCGAACTCTCTTCTTGATTCAAAACTTAAGTCTCTTTAGTTTTAAGATCCGAGTCGTCACAATTATTGTTTCTGAATATTATACTACATTTTTCGTTAATGTAAATACTTATTTTTATAGAAGCATAATAAACTATTGCATTGTCTCTAGTTTTTTCTTTCAATGATCACTCCCGCGCTCCGCTGACGGCGGCTTTATTTTCCGGCAGTTTTCCGCATACTGTTGAAACTTTGTTTGCGCAGATCTGCGACGATCTTTCTTTCATAGATTCAAAAGGCGATGCCGCGAACCGTGCGAGCGAATGCCGTTAACATAGTCTTGCAAAATCCTCATCTACAAGAACCGTGCGGAATCTCGCGTAGATGATTTCCTTGAGTTTCGGATAGAACTCGTTTTTATAAATAGCGGGCTGAGATAAAATCGAATATCTCGCGGATTCGCCGGGGTGCTTTCGGGGATTTTGCAACAACCTCTTCGAGATTAAATTAAACTCGTTCACCGTAGGGTTCGTTAAGTTCAATGTAATTCGCAGTAGCGTGGAAAACAAGAAAAATGTAGAGTGCGTCCACCCGTACTCGCGGAATCCTTAAACCGCTCGTTATTTCTCGATGTACCATCGCTTCCACCGCTAAATTCGCTCGCTCTTATCGACAGTCTAAGCGTGAGCAACCGGCAGTCTTTCCGACGTGTTTGAAAACAGTATCTCGCAGACGTTTTCATTCCCCCGGCAGTTTCTTCGTTCGCCCAATCAGATCGAAGAATTTCCACGAGCGCGCATATCCGCCTGGTAGTCCCCTCCTCGCCGCCGACGCCGGTGACCGCGGCTCCTAAAATTCATTGCCCGAGGGTCTATAGCCCACAATTAACCCGAATCGAGATCTCTCTCTCTCTCTCTCTCTCTCTATACAGACTCCGGCGAAGTCTTAGAAGGAGCTAGCGGCGGTGCGAGCTCAAAGTTTGCACGACAAATACCGTCGCACACTCTCCGAACAACCCAGATAGGGGCGTACCGTCGAAACGTGTTTGTGTATATATGTGTATACGTGTGTATACATGTGTATACACACGAGGCTCTCGTAGTCGCGCGCGCGGTTGTGTGCAAGAGTGTACGTATCATGCGGTTGTAGCCCGGTTGGGTGTACCGTCTGTACACACACCATCAGTTCCTCCCTCAAACGCGACAAAGGAAACTCAGCCAACTGTCGTCGCCGTAACAAACGCCGGCTCTATCCTCCCCGCCGTCAAGCTTCGCGCGACCGCCTTTGTCTCGCTTCTCTCCACTGTTTGGCCCCCTGGGTCGTAAGTTCCGGTCTGTCTGTCCGTCTCTACGTTGAGACGAGAACCGAACAGAATACCCCGTCGAAGCCAGCTCGGTTGTACTCGTGGCGCTAAATTACGTCAAATGAGCTATTCAGAACTATCCGATTTTGATGTTAAGTATGAAATTAGCACTCCGTATTTTAATTGTTTTTTTTTTTCAATGTTAATCGCCGTAACTCTTTTTATGAATTTAAGAGTACTTCTATACTCTTCGAAAGAAAGCTGGAACTCTAATCAAAACTATCGAGAAATAATGAGGTGCTAACTTCACACGTCCAACTGCCACTTCAGTTCCATTTATCGCATACAATAGACAAATTAATGTACTATTCGACAGAGTTCGGGTGCTTTAACCAGGAAACCAGGAATATATCAACTTTCTATATCCATGTCAGTTTTTGTGTTCTTTTTCCATATATCATTATTTAATCGGAAATTCAAAAATCATTTTATATAATTGAAAGAGTAGTAAGGTAAAGTTTCACTGGCGACTCCCTTAGTTTATTTCCACTTCTCAGATCTTCATAATACGTTAAACGCCATTATCCTAAGGAGAGTTTCAGGCTCAAGGAAATATCCTGATAAAATTCCGCGCGTGACAAGCGGCGGGGGGTACGAAATTACCGATCTTGACACGTTTATATCCTGGCAATCGGGGAAAACAAGTTCTAGAAAGTGTGGAATTTCAGGGACGCTAGGTATAATTGCCTCTTTCTACTTTGTTACATTTTTTATATTTTTTATAAATACTTCTTCAATTCTTTAGCTATTATATTATACTAACGCAGATGCAATAAATTATATAGTATGAAGTGAGAAACTCAAGCTATTATTATCCATTACGCACGTTTAAGTGCAAAACGTGCAGCAGTTTTTGTATTACCAGTCCAACACGTGAGCACTATCTTTCGTATGACGTGCTTCTAATTTCAACGGACAAAATGTATTCAAACCGCAAACAAATGTACACCTTGCAACATATGATGCATTACAAAGCTTAAGTAGGAAGATCTGGTAGATTATGATGGAATATATCGTATAAGAAAGACGTCGTACATTGTCTTAATACGCGTATATATTAATATAATAATATCATATCAATAACGAACAATAGCGCGCGTATCCATATAAAATATATAACTATAGATGTTAGAATTTCCGACAGTTTTCAATTATAGTACCCACCAAAAACTGTTCGTCAGCTAAAAAATACTTACATGTATTACTTCGTTAATACATTCAGCTCTATTATATTATAATCGCAGACGATTGATAAAACATCAATAGTAAATGTATATACGTCATGAAAATACACCACTTGTGTAAAGGGACTAATAATTTAACCCTTTAGCTTGATAGGTAAAGAGTTAAAAAGTATTAAAAAGTATTAAGAAATCGTTGCGATCGCTTTATGCGAAAAGCATAATATCGCGCCGTTCGAGGAGGAGGCGATCTGGAACCCCCGGATAGTCGTTTATCACAACGTAATCTACGACGAGGAAATCGAGACGATTAAGCGTATGGCTCAACCTAGGGTAAATATACTCGGGAATAGTGCGCGAAAATTGTCTGTCGCGAAAATAGCGGGTTTCCCTCGCCATCGGTTTATAAACACGAAACGCGACGAAATTGCGGAGATTCTCCTGCGGGGTCCTGTGGAATAACGGCGATCTCGTTTCGTCTATACAGTTTAAGCCGCGCCACGGTGCAAAATTACAAGACCGGCGCCTTGGAGATAGCGAATTATCGGATCAGTAAGAGCTCTTGGCTCCGGGAACATGAGCACGTGGCGGCGGTGAGCAAGCGCGTAGAGCATGTCGGTCGAGACCACCGCCGAGGAGCTCCAGGTCGTCAACTACGGCATTGGCGGCCACTACGAGCCGCACTTTGGCTTCGCCAGGGTAAGTCGAACGATTCCATGCACGGAATCTCTCTCTCGCGATCACCACGGCTCGACGTCCATTTTTGTTTTCGCTTCCGTAGAAAAAAGAAACGAATACATTCAAGAGGCCTCGGGCAACAGAATCGCCACGGTGCTGTATTATGTAAGTGCTGTCCTCCGCGCGACTTCGTCGCGAGCTTGACCGAGCATTTCCCGTTATTTGCAGATGAGCGACGTCGAGCAAGGTGTGTTTTTACCGCTATCAACATCTCGCTCTGGCCGCGGAAGGGCAGTGCAGCGTTCTGGTACAAACCCAACGGTGAGACCAGACACGCCGCTTGCCCGGTACTTACGAAGTGGGGTACGTCAAATAAAAGCGAGCTCTGTTGTGTGCACTTGTGGCAACTTACATTCATTCGTTACTCTTTTTCGTGCTGCAGTCGCGAACAAGTGGCTACATGAGAGGGGCCAAGAATTCCCATAGACCCTGCACATTGGAAAACCAGGCGACGGACGAAGTGGTCAAGCATTGAACAGTGACTCCCGATCTTGACGGAAGATCAATCCGAAGAAACGCGTTTAACTAAGACACTCGGGACTCTCAGCTCTGACGAATCAGAAGAAGACGCTTCATCCAAGCGGCGACACGGGATTGTCGTTTGAGAGCGTCCGTCTCTGTCTGCGTGTAAAAAAGAGCGACCAGTGCAATTTAGCGTGAGTCGACATCGTCGACGAACGTTGTCGATGAGCGTTATCGGCACGATGTTGCGCGCGTTTAATACACATCGCAATTAAGGTAGTTGGTCCGTGACGTTGGCAAGTTAATAGTTAACACAAAGTTCGATAAATCTGTGCTAAATATTTATAAACATGATACATAGCTTTGACATTATAACAAGAGAATATCATATTTACATAATGTTGAAAAACTCATTAAGAAATAATTATTTTCCGCATTTTAACGTATGATACTTTCGGCTCGTCCGTGTTAAGCATATTGTTGTGAATATATCATATGTACCGATAGCATACATACAAAAGCACACTACTAAAAAAAAACGATTGCGATGTCGGAATTTTTTTGCATTTTTTGTATTTTTCACGTTTTTATTCTATCCTTAAAAAGATGTTTAAAGGAAAATATATACAATATTGCTAAATATTTGCAGGTTAGCGATCATATATTTCAACGGTTATCAGAAATTGTGTATTTTTACATACCAATTTCTGGAAAGCTAGACAATCTTATAACTTTTTTTATAGCATTTCTACAAATCTCTTTCGTCGTCTCTTCTCGTTTTCATTAAAACTGAATAGTTTGGTCGTTAGAATTAAAATTTAATTAATAATATCGAATAGAATTAATAATATCGAAAGTCGTTTTCGTACCTGTGATACGTGTAATAATACCAACTCCAATTATTTCAGCTTCGATATGGTCAATTTTTTTTTTTATTTTCTACGTGTGTAGATTGGCGTTTCGATTAATATACTGTTGACATTTGAGAAGAAAATAAAATTTACGGACTAACTACCTTAAAAACCTCATGTACCGTACGAGACTAATTTTACTTTCTGCTCCACCGCTGAAGGGAAAGGGGGGGAGGGGCGAATCCATTACGACAGCGAATTAATGTTTCCATAATCTTCGAGAATATATCAGAGCAGCCGACCAGCCAGTCAACCGGCCGCGGCGAGTTAAAACTACCGCGAGAGGCGAATATCCAAACAAGATTAATCGGCCGCTTTGTTTCCCGTACGCTTTTCCCTTTAAAAGCACAAAGCCCCATAAAATAGAGATTACTGCCGCTCGAAACGCGACAACTGTAGTAACAAAGTTACTCTTTACGGAACGGCCAAACACACGCGTTTTTTGTTTCGCTGCGTCTGCTGCGTCATCTTGCCCGCTTGCTACGAATGTTAACGTAGAATTTCGGTTTGATGTGTGAGCGCCGCGGCGAATATGAAAGCGTCGAGGATGAAAGAACCGGGTCTGTTCAACGCTGTAACTTTCGCTCGCGGAAAGAAAGAGAGAGAGAGAGAGAGAGGGGGGGGGGCGGAAAGGAGAACGCGATTTTCAAATGGGCTTTTCGCGATGAAGAAGAACGAATTTCCTCGTTCGCGTTACTTTAGAGATGTCTACGGAGGACATGGCCGATACGTTAAGATATTACTAAACGTCATAGCCGAAGCAATAATAAATTGCGCACGTTCTGGCCAGTCTCCTCTTATCGTAAATTATAGCGTGAACATGTAGAACAGCGCGAAGAGCACGATATCTAACCGTTATTATTAGCCCGTAGAGAGATTAATCGTAACTTGAGGTCAACCCGCCGACTTTTATCGTGCGATAATGAGGCCGAGGTCCTTCTCTCGACGGAATGATCGCCGGTTACCAGCGTCGGGAGTGTAAATAGCGGTGGTCCCGTAATAACGGTCCGCCTATCGGACCGTATACGAATGCAACGGTGTGTGTAAAAATAGAAGGGATGTGTCTGCGTCTCTCAACGGAGCGGTGTGATGTGTAGGTATAGTCGAGGATAAGTGACGTCGTATTTAAGACCGCTCAATCGCAGCGGTGCTCAAACAGCTGCTTCTGAAAATCCAAGGCGATTCCGATAACTACGGACTTCGCGAGCCGCGTTGTTATGAACTGTGTGCGCGCGTTGAACGTGATAAAAAGGTGATAAACGCGATCGAGGGTTTGAGAAACCGCTACTCGATCGTCGGATTCCCAAGGTCGCGAGTGAAATTTGAAATATCGCGAATCGATACACGAGGATACGAAACATCGCTCGCGATCGAAATTTCAGTGACGACGACTGAAGAAGAAAGACTGGTTAATCGATCGGCACAGCCGCCGCCGCGCGTGTGTTTCTAAAACTACGCTGTGTACGTTTTTGTACCGAATACTTTTATCCGATTGAAGATACATTATTATCGTAGGAACTATATTTATTATCGGATTAAACTAACCGACTAATCCATCTCGCATATCCTGCACTCGCGCGTTGATTAAACATGTAATCCGATTACGATTGAATCGTTAGACGTCGAAAAGTCGTTGCAACTATAGCAATCCTACACGTATCTATCCACTACTTTCCGTTTTCGCTGAGGACACGAAGGTGGTGATTTTATCGGTTCGTGTCAATCCAATATCTTTACAACAGACACATTTGTTATGAATATACTTTTCCGGAAACTGATTCGTTTTAAGTTGTAAGACGGGAACGTTGAGTAAATAATAATTTAGATCGGAGTTATACTTTTTTATTGAGAAACAAGTATCGATTGAAAGGTAATAACGAAAAGAAGATTACATCAATGAGTCTCACGCATGATACACTATTTAGATAAATTTTGTAAAATATATTTTATACGAATAATTTTTTATACATATTTTGCGAAATATCACGTCGTCTCTAAATATGTCATTTATAGAACGATTACTAAAACGGGGCGGAAAGCAAAGTAACAATGACGAAAAATGCAAAGACGAAATTCCAATCGCCTTATTAAATGCGTGCGACTGATATCATCTATCTAACTGTGATTACTATCGTTTTGTTAAACTAAAGAAAATAAATAAAATGAGATTCATCGTAAAAATATATCTAAAGTCCCCACGGAGCACATTATTACAATTTATCGCGGTTGTAATTGTTTATTGCCGCATTGTTTTATCGAATTCGGTTTAAAATTGAAATAATTTATTTCTGAGATACAACTGTGACATGCAATAAATATTTGCACTCAATTTCTAAAAAATCTCATTTTCTGCAGAAATATATTCTCTTTCTTTATTCTTAATATACGAGGGCAGTCCGATAAGTACTTAGCCTACAAAAGAAAAACGAAAATTTTGGAAAAGTGGCGATTTATTTCTCAACATAGTCTCCTTTTAGCTCGATACACTTGACCCAGCGATGCTCCAACTTCTTTAACCCATCTGAAAAATACGTTTTCTCGAAGTCTGCAAAGTAGGCCTCCGTGGCGGCGATGACCTCCTCATTCGGCCAAATTGGTCGAATTGGACTACGAACTGCTGCCCCATCCACCGTATTCTCCAGATTTGGCCCCGTGCGACTTTTTTTTGTTTCCAAACTTGAAAAAGTCACTCGCCGGGCAGAAATTTGAGTCGAATGAGGAGGTCATCGCCGCCACGGAGGCCTTTGCAGACTTCGAGAAAACGTATTTTTCAGATGGGTTAAAGAAGTTGGAGCATCGCTGGGTCAAGTGTATCGAGCTAAAAGGAGACTATGTTGAGAAATAAATCGCCACTTTTCCAAAATTTTCGTTTTTCTTTTGTAGGCTAAGTATTTATCGGACCGCCCTCGTATGTATAAGCGTCATGTTTGTTTTTTATTTTACATATTCCATTTTGAAGTGTGAATTTAAAATAGTCTTATCCTCAGAATTTTTATTTTTAAAGGATGCTATTTAGACCCTTTGTTGCATTATTAGGCCCGTTATTGTAATTATTAATTGTAGTTCCAAAGTCTCCGCTGCGAGCCACCACTATCCGTCCTGATAATTCGGGATCGTAGTACAACTCAACGATAAATCAGACTTGTTTCACTTTTTTCAAATAGTACAACTCGATGACTGAGCAATCTCGCTCTTTCCATTATATAAATACATAGCCCAAATTCAACGGGCTGACGTAACTTTAGAAAAAATGATAAGTTAGTTCAAAAAACATTGCAAAGCTTGAAGCTTCTAGTTTTCAGGCATATTTAGTTTTACATAAAAAAATTTATTTTTATTAGAAATAATAAATAATGCCTTTAAAAAGGATATTTCAAAGTTTCTATTTACCGTTTGGTAAACGTTATACAGCAATTTATTCGCCTTTAAGCGAAAGAATGCTTTTTACTTCAACGTAGGATAATTTTTTCCAAAGCATCTCATTATCGCCATTTTTGCCAAAATTGCAATCCATTGAATTTTTTCGTGATAGTCAATTTTTCGTGATAGTTGGAAATGTTTCTCTAAATTTTGTACATTGTCTATGTCAGATTTTTTTATTTTCAAGTAATACGATTTAATATCAGGATAAACAATGCCCGCTTATTATATGTTATTACGTTAACATTTAAAGGCTGCTCTCTCAGGCTTTTCTCTTTGCAATTCAAAGAATGTGTGACATGCGCGATATATATAAAAAAAAGTACAACCTGCCACTTCACTTCGATGAGATTAGGTTAGGTTATTCCATGCATCTGAAGACTGAATTGATGAAGCACGAATAAGATTTATGAGTCAAGTCATATACATGGAATAAATTGCGACTTGCCGTAAAAAGGCAGAAAATGTAAGATCAAGCATCGTTATGTATTAAATACCGTTATATAATATGATAAAACAGAATATATAGAGTACTTTGAGGTTAAGATCCTTCTAGTCCATGCGACACCGGTTCCACTGGTTGCATGTATTTTATCGTAGAAATAAGATTCGTTCGAATCGATGATGTCCGCCACAATGATTATCCGTGTTAGCCGATTTGCTTCCCAAATGCGAGGTAAAGGGCTCGATGACTATATCAAAGATACGCAATCAGGCACAATTGCACCCAGGCCAGTCGCAAGGTATTAGAACGCCTCAACGACCGAAGCAGTGTGAGCGGCAATGAGACGTCCGACTTCCTTCGAGGATTAATCACGAATGACATGAAGCACCTGGGAGAAGGTGCCTTTAACATCTACACCCTGAACGTTAGAGGCAGGATGATGTACGACGTACGTATAATGTACAAGAACGAAGAGAGCAACTCGTACTATATAGAATATGCGACTCGCAGGTCGCCGGATCTTTGCAGAAGCACCTTTATCGCGTGAAGCGGAAGATAGACGTGGAGCATGTAGGCGACGGAACTCAACGTCTGGACGATGTTCGATTCGAGTAACCGCTTCGAACCACGGTGGACGAGAAGGGCAAACGCAAACTGGAAGGGATGATCTTTCCGTGCGGCACGCTGAATAATAAAGCCATCAAATTCATCGACAACATTATGATCTACGAGGATCTCCAGGTTACCCGATCTGAGTCTGAGGATTCTAGCCGAGTCGCGGATCGGAACGATCACTTGGACAACGACGTGAGAACCCGTGTTTCCCGTCGGAGAACAGCTATAGAGCGTTTCGGTATAAGCTGGGTGTGCACGACCTGCCACCTGGGAAGGCGTTGAAGATCAACTGCGATTATCTGCACGGCGTCAGCTTCCACAAGGATTGCTACATCGGTCAGGAATTAACGACGCCGCACGTACCACACACCGGGGTGGTGGAGGAAACGATGCCCTTGGCGTTCGAGAACGTCGCGGATAAGCCGCTCGATGAAAAGATCAGGCCGGTAATGCGGTGGGGAAGTTCGGCTTGATGTGTATCAACGAGTCTCTCAGCGCTCACCGATTGAATGTGGCGGGCGTGATGAAACCCGCTTGGTGGCCTCAAGAGTCTCGGAAGGAGACTCTGCCAAAGATACATAGTGACACGAGAATCGTCGTGAATATATCGACGGACTGTCGTAAAAGATGGGGAATCCAGATATTTGCATACGTGAAATTGTGATATACGCATGTGGAATGAAATAATTAAAGTAAAATGTAAAAAAAGAAATGTGTCGCGATATATTGTAACAGAGAACCGACAGAACTCTGATACAGCCGATTCTACTTGTTAATTTGTAGGTTGGAAGCTGATGAGACCACAAGTGAAGCCGATATCGGCAAACAGAACGATAAGGCAGCTGGTTTACTCAGAAGAATGTTACATTATGAAAGATCCATTCAGTTTACCCAACAGGGGTGAAGGTCCTCGGCGGTGAGATTGTAGCGCGTGGTGTGCTTAACACATTGACAGCCGGCGATCTAAGAGACGTTTAAAGCCTGAGCGCCGGCCTTATTCGCTTGTTTCTGATCACTGAATAGCCAAAAAAAATATTTAAAACATTATATACTTTCGTAAAATAGTACGTTTTATTTGCATATTCGTCACATACAATTTAACGGTAATTAAAAATATAAACAAAATTGAAATTTTTAATTTATAATTATAAAAAAAATACAGTTTCTCATTTCATGGTGGATTATTACATATATATAACGTAAACAGAAAACAAAAGTTTTAATATTTAAGGCAAGTGTGGTATTTCTCGAAACATTGTCCAAGATGTAAAGGTACTAAGCATTCAGCACACATAAAGTTACTCTCGCTTCTTTTTATTGTCGCAGCTACTCAAGCGACAGACTCAGAAAACCGCGCTTTCGCGGGGCTGGCGCTCAAGCGACAGACTCAGAAACCCGCGTTTTCGCGGGGCCGGCTGTCAATGTGTTAAGCTGCGGTATATTTTACGCGAAACGGTTTTGCCCGCGTTCTCAGAATCACGCGGAACTTACCGATCCAATTGCACGGCAAGATCAGCAATTTGTCAACGAAACAAGCGGATTATTAAAGATCACACAACATATCGTTGAATATGGCGCTATTGTTGTAATTTATTACACTGCATCAGCAGTACATGTTACGTTCTATATCAACAATAAAAAAAAAGTGAACTTATTAGAATTCGCTTATATACATTAAGCGTTCATACTTGACAGACCATCTCCTGTCGGAAATTGAATATCATACTCTTCATAACCGCGTATCAATGTATTCATTATCTTAAATAAACATGAAACAAAGTACGATTTCAAGTTTTAACGTCTTATAGTATAACTTTCTAACGAGGAAAAAAATTATCATAGTACTAATTATTAATTCAATTAAGATACGTTATTAACTCAAGCTTTTTCTTTTTTCAGTTTAGCCATGAGGCTTGCCGCCTGCCATCTCTTTCTTCTTCTTGTTTTTCACGTCGGCTTTCTGAAAACACTTGGAGACTTTTCCCTCGGGTCTCTCATTATCTCTTTGTGGCTTTTTTCCCTTAACTTTCCTTTCATCTTCGATCTGTACGAGATAATACTATGTTAGCTCACACATAATGACAAGTCGAATTTTAATATAAAGAATACAAAAAGAAAGAAATGTACTTACTGGACGTACTACAGCTTCTTGTGAGTTCTTTTTAAATTTTTTTGATGGCCTATTATCGTGGCTTTTATTCGATATGAATCGTTTCTCTCTTTTTCCCTGATTTCTTGGGCTTTGCGATTTCTCTAATTTATCCTCACATGGCTGTACTCTTACCAGTCGATTATCAATTTCAGTACCATTTAATTTTAGAGCCAACGCTACAGCATCTTCAGATTTGAAATTAATGTAACCAAATCCTTTTGTTTGCCCCGTTAAATGATCGCACATTAACCGCACAGATTTTATTTCCCCGCATTTACCAAAGTATTCCCAGACAGAGTTGATGTTGATACCTAAAGTTTTCTCAATTTAATAACAATCAACTTGTGTATGCTATAAGTAGAATTTTCATATTAATTAATATACAGTATATTTTCATATAAACTAAATATTTTGTTATACATACCAAATTTCAAATTTCCTATAAATATGGCTTTTTTCTTATCGTATGTCTCTTGTTCTGATTTAGCGACAATTTTCACATTTACGTAATTTCCTTCGAATTTCTTTGCATTCATACAAAGTGCTTTATTTGCAGATTCTTGGGATTTATAATTAATAAACGCTACAACACTAATTGCTTTTGGATGAGTATCTTGTGTTATAGCAGCAACTTTCTTGGACAGTTTTAATTTCGTCGGCAAGGTATTTCTAAAACGTATATTATAAATAGGTCCATATCGACCAAATACTTTCTTCAGAGCTGCTTCTTTTGTTTCTTTTGAAATATTGTCCACGAAAATAGTTCTTTTATCAATCTCTTCTTGTTCTTCAGGAGATAATGGTTTATTCTCTATTTGTTTATTTTTCTTAGAGACATCTTTACCATTAAAAGTTTTAACTGCTTTCTCTTTTCCAGCTTTTACTTGTACACCTTTTACAGCACTATCATCTTCTTCATCACTAATATCATCATCTTCTTCATTAAAATCCTCATCATCGTCGTCATCTGTCATACTTTTTCCTAGAAGTGATTTTAAGCCAAGTGCTTTTTTCTCATCTTCTTCCTCATCATTCTCGTCTTCATCCTCATCATCATCCTCGTCTTCATCCTCGTCTTCATCCTCATCATCATTTTCGTCTTCATCCTCATCATCTTCCTCGTCGTCGTCGTCATCATCATCATCAACCTTATCCTTACTTACTTCCAAATTCTGATCTTTGGCATTTGATTTTATGCCTTTAAATATTTGTACACCTTTGTGTTCAACTGTTTCCTCCTCATCATCTATATCACTATTATCATCACCATCATCATCTTCTTCGCTTTCTTCATCTTTTTCCTCATCCTTTTGCTCTTCTTTTTCATCTTCAAAATTTTCATCATCTATACCTGAATCCTCTGCTAAACTTGCTCCAAAGATATCCGGAACATCAATATCAGATCCTTCTTTATCCTCAGATACTTCATCCATCATACTGATTTCTTCTTGTGGTATAATTCCCTCATTAATGTCAGAATCATACTCAGAGTTAACTTCTAACTCTTTTTTTGTGAAATTAGTTTTTTTATTGCCTTGATTCTTTTGTGACTTACTCGTAGCTTGCTTTTCCTTTGAAATATTTTGTTTCCCCTTGGGAGAATTTTCTCTTTCCTCCAACTGTTTCAATTTTTTTTTAGGTGAATCCTGATTATTCTTTACACCTATATTTTTCTGGAACTTTTTCCGTGGAGCTATATTCTTATTCCGTCCTTTCATATTGTCTACCAAGGCCACTTTGCCTGCGGGTGTGTTTTTAAATTTAGGTTTCTTATCTTTTTTCGTAGAACCATTTTTTATCCCATGTAATGATCGTTTTGTAATTTGGCTTGCCATATTCCGTCCCGATGCTTCACCCATTCTTCACAAGAACCTAGTAGAGACTGTAATTACAAGTAACAAACTATAAGAATTTATCAATGTATAGGAAAAAGCAGAGAATGAACAATTTTCAGGAGATAAAACTTAAAACACACAATGTGTTTGCACTATTGATTACTTCTCGCAATAAACTCGCTATCAAATCCATAATATCGGAAAAGACGAGCCAAGTGATTGTACGTAATATTATTCTTTTATTTCTTTATTTTTAACGGAAAAAATACAATCAATTAAGATTACTCGAAATGAATGAAATTAAAATTTTGAAAATTGTAGGGTTATAAAGACACACACGTGTAAGCATAACAAGCTGAAGTTGAGTTCTGATCAATCAGAAATAAACATTTAATTAAATATTTAATTAAAATGAAAATATTTCATTAAATAATGAATAAGAAGTCGCAATAAATTGAAGATGATATAAATTACCCGTTAGAGTATGCACTTTGACCAATTCAACGGTCAAAACGCGTAATAGCGCCAACAGGAAGACGCAGAGTGGTCATTAATGACGAATTCACATAGCAATATTCGACGTTCAATTGTTGTGCAGGCCTGATACACAATACATCGTATGTCGTAGTCGGAACGCAACGATGGTCTAATAAGAAAACTTACTTTTCGAAAGTGAATTCTCCTCATTGGAGTCGGCTGCCACATATTGTGTTCCATACTTGTGTAAAATATCCGATATACCACAAACCGATATTCATTACGATTCGATCCAATACGAGATTTTACTTTTTAGGTTTTTTAGCAACATTTTTGGCTCCAGAAGATGGATTCTTCTCCTATTGGATATCGGACATTTCTTTCTTTCTTTATCTATTGCTTATTACCAGCATGAATTCAGATAGCTATTGTTTTTCTACTTTTCCGTCAAGATGTGAATTCTTCCTAAGAAATTGGCCAATCACAATTAATCATTCTTCTCACATTTGACTATGATTGATCAATTTGTTAAGCCCTTATTGGACTATGGATTGAAAATTGAATTAAATTTAGACAATCAGTGTAAAGTTAACTAAACTCAAGTTTAGTGAAATTTACTGACTGATTGGTCAAATTTCAATTCAATCTTAATCTTTAATCCATAGTCTGATTTACGATTTAAAACGTACTATACTTATTCTAAAATAGTATAGGTAAGCGCGCCATTTCCAGATTTCCGGTCATTTATTTTTACAGGAAATAAATTAATAATGTCTTTTATAACCTCTATCTTCTTCTAACCTTTAAAAAAATCAAATGAGAAAAATATAATAAGATGATTGTTTTATCTACTTAGGTATTTGCTTAAAATAATATCAAATGTGTAATAAAGTATTAAAAAAAATTTA